CATCTGCCTGTTGGCCATCTGTATATCCTCTTTGGAAAAGTGTCTTCTTAGCTTTTCTGCCTATTTTTTGATGGGGTTGTTCACTTTGTTTTTGTTGAGATTCATCAGTTCTTTATATATCTTTGTGATCAGTCCTTTGTCATTAGTATTATGGGCAAATATTTTCTCCCAGTCACTGGGTGTCTCTTTGTTTTGTGTGGTGTCTCTTTTGCTGTATAGGAGCTCATTAACTTGATGTAGTTCCAGCTATTTATCCTTTCTTTCACTATCCTTGCTTTGGGTGTTGTATCATTAAGGATGTTCTTGAGGTGTATGTCTTGCAATGTTTCACCTACTTTTTCTTCTAGATATTTTATGGGTTTGGGTCTTATGTCCAGTTCTTTTATCCATTTCAAGATGGTTTATGTACATGATGTGAGGTAGTAGTCTAACTTCATTTTTCTGCACACAGCAGTCCAGTTTTACCAGTGGGAGATTTTTATTTCATTCTTTTCTTGAGTATTCCTTTCTCCACTTCTGGAAAATGTTATCCTACTAAAAACAGAGGCAGGCCTTCCTCACATTGCACAGTAGTGCAGGATATCAAAAAGTGACCATGCAAGTTGAAAATGTGCAAAGCAGTATGAAAAGTCAGTGAAAAACTTCTAATTGTCTTGTGACCGTTATTTTATCAGGACACTAAAAACTTTCTTACTTCAGTTATAAATGTACCAAAAATGAAAACCATATTTACTCAGTGCACTGTAAGTAGAAACACTGGGAATTAAGTATTTTGTTTGCAAACAAAAATTAGAATAGTTTGAACAGTTCTCAACTTCTTGTCATATAGCTTACAATATGAAGGAATTATCTTTCTATGCAAGGTGAACTCTTAATGCTTCTAAGTTTGGATTATCTTCCTACAGTTTATCATTTGTACTTTCAATGTAGTAAAGTATCTCCAAGATTTCCTTTAACATGAAGTTTTTGGTCAGAAGCCTTTCTTTTGGGACCCCTTCATCCTTTTTGTCAACAACCACTTTGCTCACTTAGTTATGAAGTTCACCTGCATCAAATTCCTCTGGCTGCATAGCCAGAGTCTCTCCAGCAGTGGCAAGGTCAACATTCCCATGGTCAGCTATTTCTTCTATAAATTCAATTCAAATTCCACTTACATTATCAGTTATCAGTTCTTTGCCAATGTTGTTGGCAATTCTTGTTGTCCAGTGCCCTTTTACAATACCTATTTTTGTAAAATATTAGATTTATCAGCAGATAAAGTAAGATAAGAATCTCTGTAGTCTTTAGATGAACTGAATTAACAGCTGCCTAGTGGCCAATCACTCATGATTTTGAAAAAAAGACAGAATTGGTTATGAACCAGGATGTCCAACTGTTATATATGTAGAGATCTGTGGGCTAAAGAGCTTGTCAGAAAAGTTGTGTTACTTCATTACTCATATGTGCCATAGTAATTGAAATTTGAACCTTATTCAGAGGATTAACATTAATTAACTAAACCATGGTTAACTGAAATTCATACATATTAGAATCAAAGAAAGTCTGTCTATATTTTAAACTTGTAAATAACTTACTGATCACCTCTTAGATCTTTCTGCAATAAAATAGATATAAATTGAAATGTAATTGTTTTATATTCTTGATTTTTTAATGGTAAGACAATTTTGGATTAACATTACAATTATTACTATAACTGATCATACTACATAAGTAGTTTAAATGAATTCAAAAGTAAAAATTTATCAAAACGATTTCAATTTGATGAAGCTGACTATTTTTATTTAGGCCATCTATCCTTGAATGAGTACTGCTTACTGCTGGATGAGACAGAGTTTTGCATTAGTGATATTCCTGTTTTCATTCTACTTCATTACTAATCTCTGAGAAAATGTGTTCACACAGACAAGGAGATGGGAAAAAGTATTTTATTATAGCAAAACAGCTTATTTCATGGATACTTTCCAAGTTGTTGAACAAGGAATTAGAAAACTTTTGACTTGCAAAATACTTGTTACCCAGTCATTGGAATGCTTATTTCTTATTTTCCAGGAGGTATACCAAAAAGACTTTGCCAAGACATCTAGCAACTCCAGAGCAGCCATATAAACCTGTGCTGGTTGTGTCCACATTACAACCTATTGAACTATAACACGCTGAAATTGTACAACTGTATGTGATGACCTTATAAGTATACGTATTTTGTTGTTGTTGATTAGCACTATCTTCTCTCATCCAGTATGTAAATAAAGTATAGCTAATTTCCTAAATGTCCCTGCCACTTACACACTTAATAATAATAGCACAGTATCATATAATTGAATGACAGAAATACTTAGTGGAAAGATGTACTAGTAAGATAATATCAATAAATAAAATTGTACTTTTAGAGATCAGGAATCCAATGAAAGGCAAAGTGTGATGTCAGTAAGGCATCTAACTCCTGGCTAACCTCAGTATCTGCCAAGAATCATTTATGTCTCATCTCCATGGTGCCTCTTTATTTCCTTAAGACTTGGACTCACAGATGGCACATACGTTTTCTTGAAGTCATTAATTTATTTAACTTGTGAATGCTTATATGTTTCTAAGTACATCAAATCTATTAGCATTTGCAGTGGGTGGTTTGATAAAGCATGTGGTAAAGAGGAGCTGCTCCTGGCAATACCTTCAAGGCCAGCTCTTTTTTTGGGCAAGCTGAATGAGTCTTATATACACTGATACGCTTTTCAGCAATAGTCCACGACCAGGGAACATCAGGCAATGGAGACAAAAGTTCTGAATTAGTGTATGCATTACTCTAAAGCAACTACACACATAACATAGTGAAATCTATTATGCAAGAATAATTTATCACATGCCATTTTGAGTCTACAAACCCCTACTCTTGGTTAGACAGAATCAATAATGTTTTCTATCCGTCTAACTTGGCATCACACATTCATCTCCACACTTCCATGACAAAATGTAAAGAAGACTGTGTATTCAATCGGTCACAATCATGATCCTGAATGTCAATACCAACACCAACATCATTATCACTTATGAAGGACAAACTGCATTACATCTAGCAAAATTCATATAAAGTTGAAGAAATGTTAGTAAGATACCAATTTCCAAATTGATGTTGTATTGAAGAATAAAGTATAAATATCCTTTTATTGTAATAGCTAAATTCATGTAGCATGTTCCTAAATGTTTTCATATTTGTACTTATCTTTCAAAAAACTTTATTACACTTAAGGTATTTACATTTTCTATTTTTCAGATCAGAAAACAAAGGAAATCACCTGATCCTCTTGATAAAATGCAGATCTTCACTCCAGAGAAGTCTGGGTGGTGGTGATATTTGTGGGGTGCTACATAATCAGCATCCAAATTCAATCGTGTGGAATTAAAGTAAGCCACCCAAATGAGAACAAACAGAAATCCTTTATTCAAGTCTAGATGTATCACAAGAGAGCTACCACCACGTGCCCATGTGGCAGAGGCTCAAAAGCAGGGAGGGGAGTAAAATTTATTTTTTAAAAAAAATGTTTCCAATGCTTCTGGAGAAAGTGCTTGGCCTGGGAAAACTAGAGACCGGCTCCTAGAAACGGGATATTTTCTGTAGTAGGTTGGGGAAACTTTGCTTTCTCTGGTTGGTCCTGAGGCCCCTGGAAGGGGGTAAAAATAGGAAAGTCAGTAGGCCTTGACCAGCCTTGACTGTTCAGGTCCAGTTGCTGCAGAGGTTGTGGGTTTCTGCATTTCTTACGTGGTGCAGAGTTTTGTTGTCATATACTGTCTGGCCATTGTCCATTTGAATGTTCTCTCAGACCACAGTGTGAAGAATACACTGGATCTATGATATGTATCTGATAAAGCTGGGTTTCATCTTGGTCTGTTTCCTCTCTTAAGATAGCTGGCTTGTAAGCCTCATGAGAGCTCTGGGCTGTCTTTCACCACTGACTCCTGCCTAGTCCTTTCAGGTATTCAGAAGGCACTTAATAAAATAATTGCAAATGAATGATGCATGCACATATTTGATACTGGCTTTTGTTGGGGCAAGAGCACGAACTTTCTGGTGCAGCTCAGGGACGTCTTTATGTGATTTGAATAGTTGTCACCAGGAAGAAAGGCTGGAGGCTGCTCTGGTTCTAAATATGGTTAACTTGAATCGCTGGCCCTAGCAGTTCCCAGTTTTTCTGAGCTTCCAGGTTAACCCGTTGTGTGCATATTAGCATCAGGTCCTCCCTCGAATGGGCTGGCATTTGTGGGAAAACTGGCAGCTACTCTAGCGTTTTGAAAGCAATCCTAACCCCTAAGTGTTTTGCTTTCTAACAACAGTTTACCCTTCCCAGCTACCGAGATCAATTGAAGCAGGGGGAAAGTGCACACATAAATGCATACATACCAACCCCCCCCCCCGTGTACAGTTTGCCTAAAGACTCGCGCACGTGTAGTGTGGGTGTGTACACGCGCGTGCGTGCGAGAGTGAGACGACCCCAGGGGAGAGGAGATTCGCGGGGGCGATCTCCTCGTAAAAGCCGACCTACCTGCTGCTGTGGAAACCGTCGGGCTGGGTCCGAGGCAGCAAGCCCACCCGCTCACCTCCCCGTCACCTCACGTTCCCGCGAGTGGCCCCGCGCCGAGTGCGCGCGGGGGGCTGTTGGGTTGGAGGCGGGGAGCAGCCGGGGCACCAAAATAGGAGCCGCTTGTGGGCTGGAGCTGCACTAGCAGGCAGCCTCCGCCGCGCCTCTTCCAAAGATGGTCAGAGGGTCCGGAGGCGCCCTCGCCCCCGCTCGCCGCTAGCTCGCGAGCCAGCACCCGGTCCCCGAGCCGCCGCCGGAGGTAGGTGAGGGGCGGACCCACGGTCCGAGAGCTGCCGGCCGGGAGCCAGCGGGACGGGGAGCGCGAGCGCGAGGCCGCGCCGCCTTCCAAGCCCGCCCGTGGCAGAGGCGCGGAGACAATGGCCGCGCGGGCACCCGGCCTGGCTGAGCGCGCGGTCGCCCGCGGCGCCTTCCCCACACCTGTGCGGAGTCCCGGGGCGGAGGGCTTCGAGCTCAGGGCCGGCAGGGCGGCGCACGGCACCCTCGAGTCGAGTCCCGGCTCCAGGCCCCGGGGCGGGGCGGCCTCCCGGCGGGAACTTGGGCCCGGGCCCCAGGCGCGGGGCGCGCGGAAACCCCTGCGGTCGCCGCGGGGGTGGGGGCTCCGGGAAGGAAGGACTGTCTGGCCCGGCTTTCCTTTCTCCTCTTCCTTAATCAAAAAGGTACAGGGTTATCCTCTTTCGAGATTTCTTCTTGTGCAGTAATATTTCTTGGCATCTCTAGTTGAAAGGAAGACAACGGGGGAGGGGGGGGGGGGGGAAGGTTGAATTGCGGCCGAGTCAAGACGGGCCAAAGTCCCGTCTAAAGTGGCGCGACCCTTCGGGCGTTTGGTTTGCCAGTGTGTGATCATCTCCAACTGCCGGCTCGGCGCAGATTGCAGAAGCTGGATGAATGGGTAGCAAATCAATATTTATTCTTCAGAGGACTACTGAACAATCCGGGGGCCTTATTTTAACCTCTGAGCTACCTTGAATTTAAATTGACTATCAGATAAATTATGAAACAGTCCATCCATATCTTGCATCTTTTATTTAGAATGCTGAGATTAGACTAGTTCAAGAGTGTATCAGATGCTTATGGATCATTGTAATGATTGGAGTATTTGCCATTTTTTATGTGAAGTAATATGCAAAATTGAAAACATGTTTATCATTTCATATTTATTGCAGACATGGCTCTGAAAGGACAAGAAGATTATATTTATCTTTTCAAGGATTCAGCACATCCAGTGGATTTTCTGGATGCATTCCGAACATTTTACTTGGATGGATTATTTACTGATATTACCCTTCAGTGTCCTTCAGGCATAATCTTCCATTGTCACCGTGCTGTTTTAGCCGCTTGCAGCAATTATTTTAAGGCAATGTTCACAGCTGACATGAAAGAAAAATTTAAGAATAAAATAAAAATCTCTGGCATCCACCATGATATTTTGGAAGGCCTTGTAAATTATGCATATACGTCCCAAATTGAAATAACTAAAAGAAATGTTCAGAGTCTGCTTGAAGCAGCAGATCTGCTACAGTTCCTTTCAGTAAAGAAAGCTTGTGAGCAATTTTTGGTAAGGCACTTGGATATTGATAATTGTATTGGAATGCACTCCTTTGCAGAATTTCATGTTTGTCCAGAACTAGAAAAGGAATCTCGAAGAATTCTATGTTCAAGGTTTAAGGAAGTATGGCAACAAGAAGAATTTCTGGAAATCAGCCTTGAAAAGTTTCTCTTTATCTTGTCCAGGAAGAATCTCAGTGTTTGGAAAGAAGAAGCTATCATCGAGCCAGTTATTAAGTGGACAGCTCATGATGTAGAAAATCGAATTGAATGTCTGTATAATCTACTAAGCTACATAAACATAGATATAGATCCAGTGTATTTAAAAACAGCTTTAGGCCTTCAAAGAAGCTGCCTACTAACTGAAAATAAGATACGATCTCTAATATACAATGCTTTGAATCCCATGCATAAAGAGATTTCCCAGAGGTCCACAGCCACGATGTACATCATTGGAGGCTATTACTGGCATCCTTTATCAGAGGTTCACATATGGGATCCTATGACAAATGTCTGGATTCAGGGAGCAGAAATACCAGATTATACTAGGGAGAGCTATGGTGTTACATGTTTGGGGCCCAACATTTATGTAACCGGAGGTTATAGGACAGATAACATAGAAGCCCTTGACACAGTTTGGATCTATAACAGTGAAAGTGATGAATGGACAGAAGGTTTGCCAATGCTCAATGCTAGGTATTACCACTGTGCAGTCACCTTGGGTGGCTGTGTCTATGCTTTAGGTGGTTACAGAAAAGGAGCTCCAGCAGAAGAGGCTGAGTTCTATGATCCGTTAAAAGAGAAATGGATTCCTATTGCAAACATGATTAAAGGTAAGTACAGATTATGTTTATTCTGTATTTGAATTAGATGACCAGAGATCTCACTTGCCTTGCAAATAATTTATTTTAAATTAAGGTAAAATTGGTTAATAACATCGTGTAGGTTTCACAATGGAACACTATATGCGTCATCATCAACACCAAAAGTTAGTTTTCATTCATCACCATACAATTGATCCCCTTTACCTGTTTTAATCATCCCTTTCCCTCTGATAACTTCTATCCTGATGTCACATCCTAAGAATTTGTTTTGTTTGTTCCTTTGCTTTGTTTCTTTATATTTCATCTAAGAATAAAATCACAAGGTATTTTCTTTCTCTTATTTATTTCACAGCATAATCCCATGAAAGTCCATCCAAATGACAGGATCTTCAAGTAATTTTAAAATAATTTGCATTTTGGAATGCTATCTGGAAACTCTAGTAGATTATACAAAAATGTAACACAGACTACTCCACATAAAAATATAGTATAGCAGTCCCCAATTTGTCTGAGAGTTACACTGTTAAGAGTATGCCTTCAGGCTAGAAAAGAGGTATTTATGTAAGAAAACAATATAATTTATTCTATTTAGAGTGTTTTGAGCTTAGGTCTTACTTCAATTCCTAAGAATTTATTTACCGAAATCTAAATGAAAAGATAAAACTGAATAGTTTTAGTCAGGCTTAATTTTTTTTTTTTTTTGGTTTGTCTTGAAATTGAGCCCATTTTCATTCTGCTTTTAAATATTCAGTGTTTCTCCTCTTTATCATCTGATGTCTCTCTTAAAAGGCCCTTCTTTAAAACTTTGAAAGGTTTGGTTCCTATATAGTGTAACAAATTACTTTTTTTTTTTTTTAGAAACTAAGACAAATTGTGCTTTTTGAAATTCAAGTCTTGTCTCTTAAGGAAAAGAGGGGGGCAGATTCATACCCTCCCTTAGTTATTTTAGAGCCTTGCACATTACTGGGTCTCAGTATCAGTGTGATAAACACTAAACACTGTATTTTCTCATGTGGTTGGTGTTATGTTAGCCTTGCTTCCCTTTCCTGTTGGCAAAAAAGTTAAACTAGGATCTTATTTAATTACATTTATTCATTGGTGCTGGCGAATTACACAGAAACAACTGGTAGGTTGTTACCAAATTCGTGTCATTTTATTCCAAACATTTCTTCCCAGGCCTTTCTGTTTCTGTTTTTAAGACTAGTGAGGGTATGGGAATTTGACCTGGTCTGGGAATCTGGATGACAAGCAGCAAGGCTGGGTAGGCTGAATGTTCTTGTCATCAGGACACTGCTTCAGCAACCAAACTGCCTGGCTTCAACTCCGACTTTCCACTTATTTACTGGTGAGCTTGGGCAAGTTGTTTGATCTCTTTCTGCCCCAGTTTTGCCATCTGTACAATGGAGATGACAACAGTAGGGTTAGTTTAGGGTTTTGAGAGGACTAAGCAAATGTCTGCCTGTGAAACACTTAGAATAGTGTTTGACACAGTCAGCACTCAGTAAATGTTAGACATTATTGTCATGACATCACTGTAAAAGAACATGTCAGCTTTGCTAGTGTAGAAATACCTCTCATAGTAAATCACAACTACTCTCTGTATACCCAAGGGCTCAGCAGTTTCTGCTGTCACTGCTCTGGTTTTTTGACTCTGCCTGAACTTGGCCTCCGCTGGGAGGTTTGCTCCCCTCCCAGGATGATTCTGAATGTCCTGTCTGACTCCTTTCCTAGAAAAGAAACAAGGAAAGTCCAAGTATTTTAGCAGCTTTTATAAACCTTTATAAACACATTTCTGCTTCTGTTTCTTAATGAGACAGTAGTTTCAGTGATCTTAAGAGTTTAGAGTATATTTCTTTGAAGATGAAACTTTATTACTTTATTAAAATTAAAATAATTTAAAACACTGCCAAAAGAAAAAATGCTACACAGGTATACCCAGTGTGACCAAACCCATGTTTGATCTTGCCTTAAGTCTGAAATGGGAACCCCCTAATCCTAAAGCCCCCCTCTACCTATTGCTAGGTATGCAATTCCCAGGTTTTCTACTTATAACTTAAAGTTTTGATTCTAATATCTGTCTCATCACCTTAGAGTAGAGTAACAAGTCAGTCATGTGCAGTTTAGGTTGGTACTGGTCCTGATAAGTGGATTCTTGCTGAATTTGCCATTTTCCATTTTTCCCTAAAAAGGATAACATTTTCCCCAATTTGTTTTTTGTTGTAACCATGAAGTGATTATCATGTTTTTCTTGTAATGATAGTTTAAACTGGGTTTTTCAAATTTACTTCCTTTTTTGGGTTAGGATGTCCAGAGAAAAAATAAATATGTACTTGGCAGTTTAGGAACCCCTAACTTTATCACCTTGTCATAAATACCCTGTTTAAAAGCTTACTTTGTTTTCAGAGTAGAACTGAATACGATTGAACCACACCAAACAGAACAGTGTGAAATTAAAGTTGGTTAAAAGTCTAAACCTACATTTTCTTTTTTAAGATTTTATTTTTAAAAATTATTTATGC